TCTTTCTTTCTTCCTTTCCTTCTTTCTTTCTTTCCTTCTTTCCTTTTGCACTGAGCTTCATCCCCAGCTATTTTTATTTATTTTTTATATTGAGACAGGGCCTCACTAAATTGTCCAAGCTGGGCTACATAGTGAGATTCTCAAAAAACCAAACCAGCTTGGCATGGTGGTGTACGGCTGTAATCTCAGCATTTGGGAGGCCAGAGGATCGGTGCAAGTTTGAGGCCAGGCTGGACTACATAGTGAGTTCAAGGCCAGCCTGAACTGCATAGCGAAACCTCATCTCAAAAAACAAACAAACAAACAAACAAAACAAAACAAAAACCAAATCAAACCAAAATATAGTTTGCCACAACTACTGAAACTAGTGTGTAAAACACAGCGTAAACCTGTGAGTGAGAGGCCAGGTGTGTTGTTGACCCAGTAATGTTTTCTTACAAGGAAAGAGGTGACTAGAATAAATGTCTTAATCCTGACAGAACAGCCTTGAGCAGAGGGAAGAGCAGTGACTAACGCCCTGGCATGGGCGTGTCCCAAGATGGGGGTGTCCCGAGGAGGGCGTGTTCTAAAACAGGCGTGTCCTAAGGTGGGCGTGTCCGAAGGACGGCAAGCCAGCCTGACTGTGTGTGGGGGGGGGCAGTCTCAGGAGTTGAGGTTGGAGGGTTTGGCAGGGGAACCCAGAAGATTAGGCCAAAGAGTTATTGGGGCCAGTGGTGCTCATTAGGGCGAAAGGGTGCCAGGAGGCGTCCTCGCCGCATCTGGGGGCCGCATCCCCTTGCCCAGGCCCACGAGCCAGGTGTGTCCAGAGAAGACACAGAGAAGGTGTCCAGGCCTTGGGGCTTGGCCAGGGTCCCTCACAGCTTGGCGCGCAGTGCGGATGGAAGCTTCTCCGGAAATCCGGAGCCCAGTGTGGAGCCCAGAGCAGGATCTGAAGGCACCAGGGCTGGTGCCCCTCGCTCCCGGGATTTCACCCCTTGGAGGCTCGGGCACCTCAGCTCTGGGAAGGGAGGGAATGGGAAGGGGTGGTGTGGAGAGGTCAGACTGCCAGGGCGTGCCCATCTCTGAGTTGCTGTCTCGTCCACTGTCCACTTCCCAGGGTCACCTTCCAGGATCTGTCAGAGCCACAGAATTCGCCTTAAGTACGCGGCCCCTTGGCTGCCCTGGTTCAAAGTCGGCTCTGTTCCAGCCAGTTTGTTCACATTTTTATTTTATCTTAGATTTTAAAAAAAAATGTGGAGCCGGGGATTTAGCTCAGTGGTTCCACCGCCTGCCTTGCAAGCGCGAGGTCCCGAGTTCGATCCCTGGTACCAAAAAAACCACAAAAAATTGTGACGGGGGTCTTTTTTTTGGGGGGGGAGGGTACCGGGGATTGAACTTTCGCAGCAGGCAGTGAAACCACTGAGCTAAATCCCCAGCCCAATGGGGGTCTTGATATGTTGCAGAGACTGGCCTCAAACTCCCGAGTTCCAGAGATCCTCCAGCTTCAGCCTCCACGTAGTTGGGACTACAGGCATGCACTATCACGTGTGGCTTTGTCCACTTTTTTAAAAATTCGTATTTATTTATTGTGGAGCTGGGGCTCGAACTCATGGGCGCTCTGCCACTGAGGTACAACTCTCTTTTCTTTTCTTTCTTTCTTTTTTGAGGCAGTGTCTCCCTATGTATTTCAGGCTGTCCCTGAACTCACTGTGTGGCCCAGGCTGGTCTCCATCTCAAGGCGATCCTCCTGCCTCTGTCTCCCGAGTGCTGGGATTGTAGGTGTGCGCCCAAATACCGGCTCTAGACTTTTCTATGTTCTTCTTTGGAGACAGGGCCCTGGTAAATTGTACAGGCGGGACTTGAATTTGGAGACCCTCCTGCTTCAGCCTCCCTAGGTGCAGGGATAACGGGTCCTCCGAGCCTGTGCGGGACTGAGAGCTGGGTAGCGCGCCTTCGGTAGTGGGCACGGGATACTCCTGGACCCCACTCCTGCTCGATGGTCTTACTTTTTCTTCACCTGGTCCCCCTTCCCTAGGTGCCTTGGTCTGTCCTTCTGGCCACTCCCAGCAGCGAAGTCCCGCCAACTCACACCCCACCCCGCCCTCCTGGTCCGCTGGGCTCTGGCCCCGCCCCTCTTATGACACCGCCCTCCCACGTTCACCCTCTGCCCCGACTTCAGAGCCGCTAGCGGTCGGGTGCGCGACGCTTTGTCCCACACCTCGTCCTGTTTCGGCCTCGGGTCCTGCGTGATGCCTAGATCCTCCTTAGTATCCCTCCCCTCTGGGCCGGCGGGCTGGCGGTGGGTCCTGCGTGGAGCTGATGGCCCGGTGGAGGTCGCGCAGTCAGGTCTGCAGAGGCCCCTTTCTGTTGGGGTCCCTGGGTCCCAGCCGCAGGGCCTACAGGACCAGGACGGATGCCTGTCACCGCCCGTACCTGCTCCATCCCCCGCACTCAGTGGGGCGCTTGGCGATGAGAGGCTCCGCTCGGTGCCCTCCCCGTCCCGGGACTCCCGAGTCCTGTTTCCGGTTCGGTACCTGCAGGCGGGGCTTCGCAGCCACCCTGAGTGCTCTGGAGCGGGCGGCTCCCCGCACAGATGTTCCTCGTCACAGCATCACTCCAAGTCTGTGCCTGGAGTTCCCACGGCGGCGGGGCTGGGACGAGGCAGGGAGGAACAGGGTCGTGCTCCCCAAATGCCTTTCCTTGGGAGGCCTTTGAGAGATGGGAAACAGGCCCGGAATCGGTGCCGCTGGGACCCTCGGCAGGCCATGGTAGAGCCCACACACAGGCCTCTCACTCCGGGGTGCCCACGTCCCATGCACCCAGACAAGTCTGAGGTGCTGTCCTGCGGGCTGTGTGGAGGAGGGTCCGCCCCATCCTCTGTCCCTAGGGCTCCCCGGGCCACTGGACGCCCTGGTCAGCGCCTTAGAGGTGAGGCTGGGGGAAGGGAGGAGCGCCCCCCCCCCAGTCAGCAGCAGAGGACACTGAGCCCTCCCTGGCGGGCCTGGAGCTGAGAGGCTGAGGGCCGTGACTCCTATGGGGTCTTCTCAAGGCTCCCTGCCTGGTGCTATCCAAGTTCAGGACAGAGGGGATGTACATCCTGCCCACTCTAGGTTCCTTCTAGCACCTTCTCCTGAGTCCCTGACCACCTAGGCTCCTCGAGACAGGCCGAAACAGGTCAGTGCAGCCTCACTGGGCTCCTGGAACCCTGTTGGAGGGGGGGGGGGGCGGAGCTGGGCACACCTTCTGGGTGGGAACCAGGACACCTGGAAAGCTCTGTCCCCAGGCCACAGTAGACACACCCCTCACCCATCAGTCCACCCTCAGGATACTAACAAGCCACATTTACTGAACTGCTCTGCTCCATTTCATTGTTCCCCTTCTTTTATTTTTTAATAAATGAGGGGATCTGTTCTGGGCATGGTGGCACACACCTGTAATCCCAGCACTCACTCGGCTAGATGAGGCAGGAAGATCACCGGGCATTTGAGGCCAACCTGGGGTACAGAGTGAGTTCAAGGGCAGCCTGAACTACATACTGAAACTCTGTCTTAAAAAACAAAAACCAAACAAAATCTCTCTATATATAAACTGTTAAAAAATGGGAAATCAAACCCAGAGCCTTGTGTACGCTAGGCAAGTGCTGTACCACTGAGCTACATTCCAAATCCTTTATTTATTTATTTATTTATGTATGTATGTATTGAGAGGTTCCAGGCTGGGCTTGAACCTGCAATACCCTTGCCTCAGCTTCCAGAGGAGCTGGGATAACAGATGGCTATCACTGTGCCTGGCTCCTCTCATCTTTAGAATCAAATCCAAGATCCTCACCATGGCCTAGCAGGCCCTGCTTGGTGGTTCAGCCTCCTCTCTCTCTTCCAACCTCCCCTTTGCCTGTTATGTCCTGGCCACATTGGGTTGTCTCCTGTTCTTTGAATGTGGCTGTGTTTTCCTGCTTTTGGGCCTTTGCACAGGCCTTTTCCTCTGCCTCATGAAGAGGGAGGGGCCTGGCTAGGTCGCCCAGGCTGGCCTTGAACTTCCGATCTTCCTGTTTTGGCCTCCTGAGTAGCTGAATAAATAATTTTAGAGTAAATGTAAGTGGGGCTTAACAAATTCAATCTTTACCACAGCCATGTGAGGTAGGAGCTATCATTACTTTCCTTTCATGGAAAAGAAAACAGCTACGATCTGAATCCCAGAGAGAGGGAGGGAGCCCACCCTAGTCCTGCACCCGCAGCCATCAGGGAAGGCTTCTTGGAGTCCGTGCTTGGCCTCAGCCGGCTCTCTAACGGAGTGGGCGTCGCAAGTGGAGCCGCGAGGGGCAAAGGCTTGGAAGCTGCGAGACCCCGCGCGGCGGACCCCAGGACTGTGGCTGAGGGTCTCAGAGGCAGGAGCCCGAGAGTGGGCGCGGATCGCAGTGCTCCCGGTAGGCTGCTGGCCTGGGCGCCCCCAGGGACTCAGGCCTGGCACTCCCAAGGCGCCAAGGCGGACGTTCCCACGCGGGGGCGGCGGCGACAGCAGCGGGGCGGGCGGGGGGCGGCTCCGCGCTCGGTCCCTCCGCAGCGCGTTCTCTGAGCCTCACTGGGTCGCGCTGCGCTGTGCCTGCCAGCCCACGAGGTGAGTTGGTGCGAGGACCCCGCCGAGCCGGCTTGGACCCTTGCTGGGGTAGAGTCCTGGGGCCCCAGCCACAGAGCAGGGTCGGGGCCCTCAGGAGTGACACTTTCCTTTCCAGGACATGGGGCGCGCTCCTTTCCCCAGGTGTAGACAGCTCCCTCCGCCTCCCCACAAGCCGGGCTCTAGGACCCACTTTTCAGACTCAGCCTTCCTGCCCAGATGAGGGCCCTGGGCTCATCACCCTGGGGAGCCCTCTCCAGCTGTCTAGTTATGAGGTACCTCTCTGTTTCCCCCAGAAGTGGGATGCCCCCTCCACTCCCCTGTGGGGATACTTCTGTCTTCCCAGAAGAGGGAGTCCCTCGTTCCTCTCTCCAGATGTGTGGACCCCTTTGTCTTTCCAGAAATGGAATGTCCCCTCCTCTCTCCAGATGTGGAGGTTCCTTGGTCTCCCCAGAAGTGGGATCCCCCCTACTTTCCCCAGATGTGGGGACCCCTTTGTCTCCTCAGCAGTGGAATTCCCCTCTTCTCTTCCCAGATATGGGGCCCCTTTGTCTCCTCAGAAGTGGGATGCCCCCCTTCCTCTACCTAGATGTGCTGTCCTCTCCTCCCTTCTGACCCAGTTTGGTTCTTGTCCTCTAAAACCATTCCCCACCCCCATGGGATGCCAGACCCTGAGACTTTCCCCCTCCCTGGGGACTGGGGGATGGGGCACAGCCTGTCACCTCCCTGCCAGCTCCAGCCTAGCAGGCTCCCTGCACGTAGGCAGCCAATTAGGGGGAGGCCCCCCCCAACCATCTGCACAGAGACCTCTGCAGATGGTCCTGCAGAGGAGAGCTCAGGACCTGCCTCTCCCTACCTGGTCTCCCTGCCAGTTTCCCTGGGGGCAGACAACGGAGGGGGGTCCCCAACCTGTGCAGGCCCAGAACCCAGGCCCTCAGCTTCAAGCTGCTCAGACAACACTGGTGAGTTAAGCTTCCTTCCACTTCTGAATGGTGAGTTGAGGGCCCAAGAAGGGACTCCAAAGGTCTAAGACCCCCCCCCCAAGTCCTCCCATGGTGCCATCATACAAAATTAGAAGGCTCAGGGCCTGTGGGTGACCTTGAAACCCTGGGGACCGCCTAGCTGAAGGGCCCTGGGGGTGGAACTCACTCCTCACCCCCACCCCAGATGCTCTCCAGAGCCGCTTGGAGCTTGGTGCTGAGGAGAGGACCTGGAATTCGGGGGACACACAGTCCAGGAGGTGCCGGTAAGACCTGGACCCCTTTCCCAACCTAATTCCAGACTTAGTGCCAGGTCCCTTCTGCAGACCTCCCCCAGACCACTCCTTGGACCTCAGCTGGGTTCCTCCAGGAGAGGGAGCCCAGAGTGAGCAGACCATGGATCCCTGTCCCAAGCTTCCCTGGGCCCGACCCCAAGCCTGGTCCCTGGGCTGTGTGCTGTGTGCTGAGGCAGATGGAGGTGGAGGATGCTGCAGAACCTTGGCCCCTACTTGTGCCCTTCCTGACCTTGGTGCTATGCCAGGCAAAAGACAGGCCCAAAGCAAGGGAGACCTCAGCCAGTTCGCAGAAGGAGGCTCCTGTTCCCCAGGAGAATAAGATGAGACTCGCTGAGACTCCAAGTTGTGACAAACATTTTGCCTAGATTAGGGTGCTTAGACTTCACAAGAACCTTGTGAAGTGGAGACTGGGGCACCTCCATCTCTCTGATGAACACACTCCTTGTCCTAGGCAGTTCCAATGCTGTCCCCAAAGGTGGCACCAACGCCCCCCGGTTGACCTCTCCAGTATCACTAAACAGAAGAACCTTTATTGAGCCCCTTCCTAGGGCCCACCTTATTCTGGGTACGCTGGGCACTTGTGAGGGGCCCTGAGGGGCTGAGCCATCAGGGAACTTCCAGGAGCAGAGGCCATGGTGAAAGCTACCTCAGTGAGCCAGAGTGCTTTACTGGCCAGCTACTGTGTGCCAGGCACTATGCAAAGTGTTCTGAGTGCATTAGCCGGAAGGTAGGCACTCTTGTCATCCCACTGTCCATATGAAGATACTGAGGCATGGTGAAGTAAAGGACTTGTTGGAGCTGGAGAAGATCAAACAGGGGCTCACACCCAGCTGGCTCCGAAGCCATCCCCTTGACCCCTGAGAAGGCCCATGCACAGTGCTTGGAGTTTGCAGAGCCCTTCTATGTCCAGCACCTCTGTTCCTGCCTTGAGCCTGTGCCCACCATGGTCCCAGCTGGACATGACCTGCTCACATCAGATCTTCTCAGAGAGCACAGGATCGGAACCCAGGGGGGCTGAGCTGCAGCCTTGGCCCTGCGCTTCTTGCTTGGTGAATTCTACCAAGCCACTTACTTAGCTGCTCAGTGTCACCTAGTGTCACCTAGCTCAAAATGATGTGGTGCTGGTGAGGCAAACTCACCTGAAAGCCTTAAACTGGCTGCTGACACACAGTAAGTGCTCAATAAAGGCAGCCCTGTATACTTAGGGATGGGTAGTCCAGGAGCAGCCTGGACACAGCTCTGTTCTTTGTGCCCACAGCTGATGGCCAGGGCAAGATGCCCTCCTATACCAACTACTATGCCCAGCGTACCTACCCCATGCCAGACGAGCCCTTCTGCACGGAACTCAGCGCCCAGCAGCGTGCCCTGAAGGAGAAGGAGAAGGGAAGCTGGACCCAGCTGAGTCACGCTGAGAAAGTGGCCCGTAGGTCTCAGTATGGGGACAGTGGGTGAGTGGGGGGGCTTTGCAATGAGCAGCCTGGCAGAGAGCAGGGAGGGGTGGCAAGGAGAGGACCCCGGGCAGCCAGATAGCCCCAGACATCTGAGTGCACACCTGGAGGGTGAGGTTTATTCTTCCATTCCTTTCTTCCTGTTTTGTTTTGTTTTTCCTTTTTGGTGGTACTGGGCATTGAACCCAAAACCTTCACACTGAACTACATCCCCAGCCCTTATTTATTTATTTCTTTATTTTCCAGCCCTTTCTTATTTTGAGACAGGGTCTCACTAAGTTACTAAGTTGCCCAGGTTGGGCTCAAACATGGGATTCTCCGGCCTCAGCCACCTAAGTGCTGGGCTTTCCAGCGTGCACCACTACGCCTGGCTCCATTCATTTTTTTTTTTTTTTTTTTGGTACCAGGGATCAAGCTCAGGACCTGAGCTAAATCACCGGCCCTTATTCATTCTTTAATTAGCTCAACCTTTGTGCACAGCCTGAGGCTGGGCAATGCTAGGGACAAGAGGCGAACACCAGGTCAGTCCCTGCCCTTGTGGGCCTCCTAGACTAGGCAGATAACTGACACAGACCTCAGCACTGCAATGCAGGATCTATGGGTAAGGCAGGCTGTGTCCAGGGGTGAGGGCCAAAAGAGAATCCTAGAGGGCCTCACAGAGTAGGACACTGCCAGACCTGAGAGGAGCTGGGCATGGTATCACAGCAGGAGCCTGTGGCGGGCCCTGGAGTCCTCAAGCAGGGGACAGAGAGGCAGTAGAGGTGAGCAGGGAGCAGGGGTCTGACCTTGGGTGGCAGGAGGGACACATGACCCCAGTGCTGCCCGCCAGAGCACCCTGGGCTCACCCTTTGATATTGGGGGCCTCTTAGTCTCATTCCACAACTAGGGGAGCCCAGCCTGAATCCTGCATTTCAGGGGTTCCCAGTGAGAGAGGTGCCTGCTTTTCTTCATTCACTCATTCATTCATTCACTAGGCATCTTATTGAGAATCTACTGCACGGCCAGGCCCTGGAAGTGTGGCTGGGACCAGCCAGGTCCTGCTCCTGCCCTAGAAACAACCCCCCCACCTCAGCTCTTTCCCCTCCTCTCAGACTCCCTTCCCCTCCCTCTTCTGTCCCTCTCTCCTTTTCTTCCTTTTCAGAAACAGACATCACCCTTCCCCACAGCTAGAGTGGTGGAGGCAGGATTTCAACTCCCCACAGATTGGTACCAGGGGCTCTCAGCTGCTGTGCTGGGGATGTGGTGGGGTACACTGTGATGCTACTCAGGAAGGGACTTTGACCGCTGGACATGGCAGGACTTAGACCTCCAACCTGCTCAGCAGGCACAGCCTCCACACTCCCCCACCTGCACCCCGCACATTCCTCTCTGTTCCCCCTGCTACAGGCCCCTGCCACCCCCGCCAACCCTCTGGAAATCAGACTCCTTCCCAGACTCGGTTCCGTGTGTGGAGCTGAACTCCCACTGGATGTCTTGCTATTCTGTCTCACGCTGAGGAATTCTGCTGCTGGCTTTGATTTTCCTTTAATTGTTTATTTTCACATGTATTTAATTTACTGAGAGGGGATTACACACATCAGGTAACACTCAGGACTATAAAAAGGAAGGAAAGGGGGGAGGAAGGGAGGAAGGAAGAAAAAGAAAAGAAAGGAAGAAAAGTTAGTTTCTTTCCTCCAACCTCCTGAGCTGGATCCTTGCGTGTTCTTAGGAGAGAAGCCTTTGGTCCTGGTGTTCCTCCCTTGAACATTGCTTTTCCACCTGACAGCACTCTTGGTTTAAGAGCAACGGTGTCACAGCCGAGTGGCCATGTCAGCCCCAGCCTCCTCACCTCTGACAACTATGCTCAAGCCTACTTAGGTTACTTGACTGTGACTGTACAGGAGGTGATTGAAAGATACAGTGAATGTTTAAATTAAAAAACAAAAACTTATCACAGTAAAAGACACATTGCCAGGAATGATGCAGTAAGCATGGTTGGCTGTGAGCTAATGAGAGGACCCCACATTAGGGGCTGTGCCTGCTGCATCTGGTATGTTCGTGGAACATCTGGAGGGAAAAGGAGAAAGGGAGAGGGGGACAGAAAGAGAAGGGGAAGGGACCCTGAGAGGAAGGGAAAGAGCTGGGGGGGAGACAGTTTCCAGCACAAGGACAGGGCCTGGCTGCCTCAGCCACACTTCAGGGGCCTGGCTTTGCAGTAGATGTTCAGTAAGATGCCCAGCGAATGAATGGATGGATGAATAGGGAGTATTTTGAGGGAACAGTGGCAGTGTGTCTTTTATTGCAATAAATTTTAAAATTTAAACATTCACTGTATTTTATGATCACTCCACATTATTCAAACATTTATGGCAATTTTGTCATATAAAAATATTATTGTGTGTCCTCATCCACCTTATTCACTGGATCTACCACCGCAGGATGTGGGACTCCTGGCTCTTCCCCAAGGTCAAAATGACCATGACAGATAAAGGTTTTGAATCAGTTCAGGACACTAAGGCAGCAACAATGGTGCAACTAGACACTTTGAAAGAGGACTTCCAGGGCCGAGGATTTAGGTCAGTGGTTCCGGCACCTGCCTCACAAGCACAAGGTCCCAAGTTCGATCCCTGGTACTAAAAAAAAAAAAACAACCGAAAGAGGACTTCCAGAGCTGCTTCCGAAAGTGGCAAGAATGATAGGATAAGTGTGTTCAGAGAGACGGGAGTATTTTGAAGGAGATTCATGGCAATGGATTTTTTTAATGGATTTATTATTATTATTATTATTTTGGTACTGAGGCTCGAAGTCAGGACCTTGTGCCCTATAATTAATTGTTTAAAATTTTTGAGCATTCACCAGATTTTTGACCACATCTCAAATTTTGACAATTGGTAGAACGTGCACATTTTAAGCAAAAATAAAAGTTGTTTTGTTTTCCTTTGGGGGGGGTACCAGGAATCGAACTCGGAAACTTGCGCTTGCAACACAGGCGCCGGAATCACTGAGCTACATCCCCGACCCAAAAAATAAAAGTTTTATAATAGTTGGGGATTTAGCTCAGTGGCACTGTTCCTGCCTCAAAAGTGCAAGTTCCTGAGTTTGATCCCTGGTACCAAAAAAAAAAAAAAAAGTTGTATAACTTCAAATACATTGATAGAAAGGGAAAGGGGTTAAAGAGAGGAGCCTCCTGTGTGCCACCGCTGTTCTGGGTGCTGGGTATGTACCAACGAACATGGTCCTTGTCCTCTTAAATTCGAAGTCCAGGAGGAAAGATAAGCAGTAATCAGAAAGCAGATAAATAAAAATACTCAGTGTGATGGGGCCGGGGATTTAGCTCAGCGGTTTCGCTGCCTGCTGCGCAAGCGCAAGGACCCGAGTTCAATCCCCAGTAACAAAAAAAAAAAATACTCAGTGTGACGGAAGTGAAGGTCAGAAACAGTCCTGACAAAAGTTGCAGTCAAATAAAAGCATGATTTTGTCAATTTCTTGCCTAAAATCCACCCTCCCTGGTTCCAATAGAAGGAAATGCAAGCCCCTGCTCCCCCTGGCTGGCCAGGTCCTGTGTGATATGGCTGCTGTCCACTCCTCGTTTGCCACGTTTCAGTCCACTTCACCCCAGCCACACGGCCTTCACACACCCCTTCCCTGCCCCTTCCGCCTCCGGACCTGGCTTCCGGTTTTCCCTTGACTTTCTTCCTTCAGTTTTCCAGCCTCAGCTCCAACGTCACATCCACTGCGAGACCTTCTCAGCCACCCAAACTGAAATACCCCTGCTTACAGCCTATTTGATGCATGTGCCATCTGTGTCCCCTCCCGTGCTCCACAAAGGCAGGAATTTTTGTCCATCCCCTTATCACTGCCTCAACTCCAGTTCCCAGCCATGCTTTGTATACAGTAGATGCTCACTAAGAATTTGCACCTGCTGCAGGAAGCAGGAGGCCAGGGATCCCTGGGGCCAAGCGTTGGTCCTGGGTCCCTGGGGTGAATGCACCTGAGGCCCCTTTCTCACCCCACCTCCTCCAGTATACCGGATCCAGTTCCACGAGACCTTCGCAGAGATGAACCGGCACTCTCAAGAGTGGAAGACAGTGATGGGCTGTGTCTTCTTTTTCATTGGAATAACGGCTCTGCTGATTTGGTGGCAGCGGGTCTACGGTGAGTGCCCACACCTCGAATGGCTGCAGGCCTGGGGCACACCCTTGGGGCCACAGCCACTGGCCATGCTCTTCAGGGAATCAATCATATTGAGACTTATGTGAAGAGTGTTAAAAAGCCTCCAAAGAGGTGGAGGGTGAAGGGCAGAACATGGCTGCCTGGGTCAGAATGCAGGGAGTCTACTTCTCTGAGCTTCAGTTTCCTCATCTGTAAAATAGGAATAAAAATGCCCACCTTAGAGGGTTCTTGTGAGAGGGTGTAGGCCAATGCTTGGTACATAGTCATAAGTGGTGTTTTACTGATTACTGTGTATTTTCCAGTATACTGTTTCAGCTGCTGCTGTAACAAGAATTCTCAACACACAAGAGTTTAAACAAGTTAGTTTATTCCTTTCTTATACACACAAAACAGGCCAGATAAACAATCCAGATAAGTACTGATATTCCACAAAGCAAACTCCTTTTTATTTTTAAAGTTATTATTATTGTTGTTGTTGTTTTCAGACAGGGTCTTGCTATGCAGCTCAGGCTGGCCTTGAACTAACTATATAGCCCAGGCTGGCCTCAAACTAGCAGCAATCCTCCTGCTTCAGCTTCCAGAGTGCTGGGATTACAGGTGCATGCTACCGCACCCAGCCTTTTTCTTTTTTTTTTTTTTAAAGATAGGAGACTTGAATTGGTGATCCTCCCGCCTCAGTCTTCTGAGTAGCTAGGATTATAAGCATGTGGCACCTCAAAACAGGTCCTCTAGGGCCAGGGATTTAGCTCAGTGGTTCTGGCGCCTGCCTCGTAAGCGCAAGGTCCCGATTTCAATCCCCAGTACCAAAAACAAAAACAAACAAACAAAAAAAACCAGGTCCTCTAAAATCCTTACCTTGTATCTTTCATTTTAACATACAAGATGGCTGCTCCAGCTCCTGGTACTTCTGCTCCTATCCTATTGGCTGGAGGTGGTCACATGGTCTTGCCTAGCTACAAAGGAAGCTGGGAAATGTAGTCTTTGCTGGGAATCACATGTCCACTGAGCTTTTATTTCCTCAGAAGAATTGTTCTCAAAATGTCATCCCTTCCTCCCAAGCACAAGGACACGAGTTCGATCCCCAGTTCCAAAAAAATTTAAAAAATGTCATCCCTGAACAGACACCACCACCTAAGAACTTGTTAGACATGTAGATTCTTAGCCCCATTCTCGATCTACTGAGTCAGACACTTGGGGTGTGGAGCCGAGGAATTTTCTTTTTCTTTCTTTTTTCTTTTTTTTGGTGTTGGCAGTGGAACTCAGGAACTCATGAATGGTAGACAACTGGTCTACCAGTGAGCCAGGCCCCCAGCCCATGTGTAGTTTCCATTTTAACAGCCTTCAGGCTGATTCTGATGTTCACTCACATTTGAGAAGCACACCGTGGACGAAGAGGATAGGATGCAAGCTGGGCATAGTGGTGGAGTTGTATAATCCCAGCTCTCTGGGAGGCTGAGGCATGAGGATCTCAAGTTCAAGCTCAACCTGGGCAACTTCACAACTTAGCAAGACCCTGTCTCCAAATAAAAGATTTTTAAAAAGGGCTGAGGATGTAGCTCAGTGTAAAGACTCTGGGTTCAATCCCCAGGGGGAGGAAAAAAAAGGAGAGGATATTAAAGAAGAGCTGGCAGTCAGCCTCAGTCGAGTGTCACCTCTAGTGACCTCACGTTGTTTCCTGTGTAAATGTGACAGGAATCCCTGAGTTGCCCGAGGATGAAATGAGAAACAGCTGGAAACAGCCTCATCTAGCCCAGTGTTTGGCACATAGCCAGTCCCCATGAAGATCGCTCCCTTCCTGCTATCCTGGGATAGAAGCACCAGGGACAGAGGTGTGGAGGGCTAGGTCTGCCCAGGGGCAGCAGGCGGGGGAGCTCCAGCCTCTAGCCTTCCTGACCCACACACTAGGGCTTCTCAGATCCCTCTGTGAGTGTGTCAGCCTTTGGATTAAGTCTTGCCCTCCCTGGGAATGGAACCCATGGCCTTCACACTGAGCTACTTTTTTTTTTTAATATGAAACAGTCTTGTTAAAACTCTGTGTTGTCTAGGCTGTATTCAAATTTTCAATCCTCCTGTCTCAGCCTCTCAGATAGACTGGGATTACAGAAGTGTGCCACCATGCCTGCCCAGATTTTTAAAGTGACCACTCTGGAGCTGGGCATAGTGGTGCAAACTTGTAATCCCAGCACTAGGGAGGCTGAGGCAGGAAGATCTAGTGAGTTCAAAGCCAGCCTGAACTACATGAAAGTCCTCATTTAAAAAGAAAGAAGGGGCCGGGGATTTAGCTCAGTGGTTTTGCCACATGCTTCAGAAGCACAAGGACCCAAGTCCGATCCCTGGTACCAAAAAAAAAGAAAAAGAAAAAGAAAGAAGGGGTCTGGTGATTTAGCTCAGTGGCACTGCACCTGCCTTTCAAGCACAAGAACATGAGTTTGATTGCCAGTACAAAAAAAAAAAAGAAAAGAAAAAAGAAATGGCCACTCTGTACCTACCTTCCAGTCACCACCCCCTAGGAAACAAAAGGAACTGTTTCACCCAGGACCAGTAGGTACCATTCAGTGAGTGCTTTGTAACTGTCCAACATTGTGCCAACAGCTTCAAAAATACTAAAATAAAATAAAATTTATTTTTAGAAAATTAATTAATTAAAAATATATTGAGATTTGACTGGTAAGGGGTCTGAGGCTCAGAGAGGTGAAGTGACCTGCTCAAGGCCACACAGCACCGGGTTGGTGGAGCTGGGTTGGGTCTAGATGGTCCTCAAGTTTGTGCTTTCCTGCTCTGTTGGCCAGAGGTAGGTGAGGAAGCTGGAGCACGGCATAGGGTCAGACCTAGTGGGTCTAAGGTGGAGCCAGGGTGGCAGCCGAGGAGCCACAGAGCAATGCTCTGGGATGGGCCAGCGAGGCGGTGGGGAGGCTGAGGTGAGGAAGCTGAGCTCATGCGGCCTTCCCTGCAGTGTTCCCAGAGAAGCCCATCACCCTGACAGACAAGTGGAAGACCCAGCAGCTGCAGCGAGTCCTGGACATGAAGGGCAACCCTGTGCAGGGCCTGGCCTCTCGCTGGGACTACGAGAGGAAGGAGTGGAAGAAGTGACACCCTTGCTCCTCCTGCCTCCCCCCTGCACCTGCGCCTGTCT